TGGAAATGTTGCGTGTATTGAATATGTTGAGTCATTGTTTAGCTTGGATTTAAGGGGGAGCTTTAAAAAATAAGTTTATTTAGTTAATATCAGAACGTCCCTCTGACTGTCAATAAATTACGTAACGCAAAATTCATCAATTTTAAACCATCTCTGCTTCCCCCCCCTCGTGTAACAGGACCATAATGCCAACATTTAAAGTCATCAGTTTTAATATTTAATTCTTCAGAACTAACAGGACACTGGTAAGAAATTCAGGACAAACAAATATGTATGTTTATTCATAAAATATCGGATTTGTTAATTGCTTATGCTAACTCTCCGATAAAGTTCAGGATACTCTAGTCTTGCGGAAGGACGTAACAGGACAGTAAAAAAAATATTTTTTTATATTTAATCACTACAATTTTTGATACATAAGTAGCATTAAAAAATGGTCACATTGCTAAACAACGGAAATTAATTTCTATGATAACACAACTTATTCTTACAATGCGACATATTGCCAACATTCCGGTTCTAAAATCGTTACGTAACGCAAACTTTCATCCCTATCTCCTTTCACGTAATACGACTATAGTACCATACTGTACCCCTACTCCCCCCATTTTTTCCGAAAGGTAATTTATGGGTAACCCCTCTTTGACAAAGCAAACACATTAGCTCCTTTCGTTTATCAGTTTATCGGATGTCGACTAAGTCGTGTTAAATATTCAAAAAGGCAATATTATTCCAATGTTTTTAACCCATGTAAATTATCAGTCTTTTTACGGTCGAAAAACTCTTCTCGTTTGTATAAGAAGATGCGGAAATAATAACAAAAACTGACAAATTAAATACATTCCGGTATGAAGTCATTGGACAGTGGATTTTAGGTTAAAATCAACAATCTCTGACAACTTCTTGAAATCAACATTATTTCTACGAGCCAAATCAAGAAAAATGTCGCTGTTGCTGATTAAAGAAAGTTTCATATACAGGGTAGCCCATCGAAAACAGTAAGTACTATTTTACACGATTTAGCATGATTTTTGTGCAAAAAGCTGAGACACATGGATTTTGACTGTAATTCTGAGCTTTTTGACAAAAATCATGTAAAATGGCATAAAATTACACTTACTTTTTTCAACAGGCCACCCTGTATGGTATACGGTAATATATACAAACACACGTTAAATTCCGTATGTTGAATTCCATAAATAAAATCATCATGTGAGTTAAGCTATAAACAAAAGGAAGTTTATTATAATTATCTAATTATTTAAATATCCGAGTATGCAGGCGGTTACAAAAGTTTCTGTTTGTTCAGTTTATCACAAGTATGCAAAGTTATTAATTTTGCGTGAGAGAATAGTTGAATAGACGAAGAAAAACAAAACGAACGTATTTACTGGTTGGACACGCACCTCCACTCTTTCCTGTCCTGAGCTAATCTTCGCATTTCCATAAAACTAGAACATCCTACTTCCTTAACTATTTGCGAAGAGTAATCTAATCTAGATCTACCGCTACTCCTCTACTTCATAGTACACCAAAATTTCTTTAGCAAGTACATCGTAAAACAAAATCAAAAACCTTTATTTGGGAGTAAAAATTATAAAATTTGCGCTGTGGGAGAAAATTACAGTAAGTGGGAATGATTTCATTTGTAATAACGAGTTACTAACAGAAATTCGCATTTGTGAATGCATTCATTCATCAGTATCAGAAAATCAGAAAGTAAAACAAAACTATTCTTCCCTAATATTTTTAAATAATTAGAGCTATTCTTAAAAAAATTGAAAATGATTATGTGAAACACAATTAAGGAATTAGGTATTGCTTCTTGTCGTATTCATTTAGAAATAATTAACTTTTTCCAACAAGTTTCCATTTAAAATTATAGGTAAAGGTCTAGATGATGGGGTAGGTGGGATCGAAAGAGGTGGTCTCCCCCACCACTGTACCATAAAAAGTTCGTGGCGGTCTTACCTCCATANAAGTGAAATAAGAATTCGTTTAAGTGAAATTCATAGTGTGTTGGATCAGTTTGAAGAACTTCAAATAAAAATCAATGTAGATGACATAGATAGTGTCGATTACAATAATTTTGAAAATCTATATTTTAAGTCGATAAGTTATGCGCAGAGTCTTCTAGAAACAAACAACGTGGCAGTTACATTGGAAAATAATGTAACTGTTCCTAATCAAAGTGTGAATTGTGAGTTAAATATAGCAGAATGTAAAATGCAACAAGAGATTCTAAAGGTTAGGCTAGCCGAATTCAGTGAGTTTATTTATGCGGAGGAAAATAAAGATAACTTAAGTGAAATGCGAATACGTTTAAATGAAATTAATGGTGTCCTAGATCAATTTGATGAACTTCAGATGAAAATAAATGTGGATGAGTTTGATAGTGTAGAATACAATAATTTCGAAAATCTTTATTTTAAAGTCAGTTAGTTATGCGCAGGGTGTTTTAGAAACAAACAAAGTGGCAGTTAGATTAGAAAGTAATGTAACTGTATTAATGAATGAGAATACAAATATTCAAAATACCGTAACAACGTGTCCAAAGGGTAAATTATCTCCTTTTGTTAGTTTACATCAACAAAAATTAAACAATAAGCATAAATATAATTTCACTAAGGAACAAGTTTTTACACTACCAAAAAGGGTTAATTCAGGTTCAGTTTACAAAAGACATAAAATTCGAGAGAGTGAATGGTTTGTGAAAGTAAAGGCAAATAAGAAAATTGTTCAATTACTTAAGGAAAATAAATTATGGCTTAATTGCTTAAAGAGCGGGCATCATAATGATGAATGCAGGTGGGCAGAATGTGAAGAATTCAGTAAGTTGATTCATTTCAGTACTAGGGTACATATTAGGATAAATTGTAAGATGGCAGATGACGCAAATACTTCCGATTCAAAAGATTACAAAGTTGATTATTCTGTAGAAAGTTTAAACCAAATTGAAAAACCAGTAAATCAATCTATTCAAATAAAATCTAGATCTAAACACAATAAATATAAGGAAAACGGTAAAACTCCAATTGTATTTTGTATAGGTGACAAATTGTCCGATTATTTCGTCAATAGTAAATTAATAATCATTCTACAAAACCATAATTCTGATTCTAAAGGTGAACCAAAATTTGGTGTTAATCTAGATATAAGCGAAATTAGTGAATTGTTAAGGGTAGTTTTAAAATTAATTCAAAGGGAGAAGTTTAGTGTTTATATTAGACAATGGTCAGAACAAACATATATCAATATAAAGGGCGGCTGTAGTTCTTTTGTTCAGTTTTTAGATGTGTTCAAGTTAATTTCCGTGGGAAATTCTAACTTATCGTTCTCGGAAAAACATCCGATTGTGCTAATAAAAAATAATAATACAGTGAGTTTAAACATTCGTGAAAACCACGTTTTGTGGTGTATTAGTGAGGCCCAAAGCAGGCTTAAAGCTGTAAGAGCAAAGACGTGGCCAATTAATGGCAAAAATGCGATAAAATTAATTATACACAAATGCGTTCTTTGTCGTGGCAAATCTTACCTAAAGGGAAATTTACTAAGGAATAGCGTTATTTCAAGGCAATCTTTTTCTAATGTAGAATTGGATTATTGTGGATCATTCTATATTAAGACAAAGAGATTACTAAGTTGGGAAAAAATCAAAGTTTGCGTTTACCTCTTAGTTCGTTTGACACTTTATGCTGAACCAATCAAAGGTCTGATTACAGACGTGACCAAATCGATTAAGGGTCATTTTTATAAAACAATGTTTCAGTTATTTGTTGCATATAATGAGTTGTTAAGAGATACGACTGAACTAGAATCAATATTCCGGTCCTACTATCCTTTATCCAATGATCTCAACAACAATCTCACTCCTACCCTCTTCCTAATAGGAGATACTTTTGCAAGCGTACCTCAGGTGAAACTTACACCTTCACCTGTGAATCGTCTTTCCGAATGGGAATGTATCCAACTCTTTAGGCACTACTTCAGGAAGAGACGACATAAAGAAAACCTCAATCAACTAGTAACCAGAACCAAGTTGCAGCAAAAAAGTGCAGAAAAAGGAAAACTCGGTACATTAGTGGTGTCAAGAGAAGACAATGTGCGACCTGTATATTGGTCACGTGACCGAGTTCTAAACGGTTTTCTGGAAGACTATGAAAGAGTGCGTGTTAGAAAAGTGAAGACTAAATCCGATGTTTTAAACGTGCAGTGTTAAAGGTTTAGTGCCTTTATTACCCTTAAGATATTAACAAAAAATTTGTGTAAATAGTTGCTTCCAATTCATTTAATGTATCTTATAAGTTATGCTAACACGCTTGTAGTAAAAAATTAGTGAAGAAAATTGTTGAAAGTTTTCAATGTTTATGTTTATGATTTAAAATTTTGCGACGTTTGTGTTTGTAATTGAAAAATTGGTAGCTTGTAGTGATAATTTAAGATTTATAATGTTTTTCTATACGACTTCAGTGTTCACTGTTAAATGTGAATCAATTGTTGTACTTTCTATTGTGCTTGGAAATCTTTTACTTTTCCATTTATTATTGAACGGGGACCGTTCAAGGCGGGCGGTATGTTCGGAGTCAAGACCGACCTTTTTGATGCAGGTCATAAAGTTCTTCCTGCATACAATTTTTAGAATGTTTGCAAATTTACAGGGCGGTATGGTAGTAGACCCTTAGATGCATCGGTACAATGTTTAAATTACTTTATTGAGGTAACGGTTGAAGAAGGATCCTTTACGATTCCAATTTAGTTTCAAGTTTATTATGGGGTGATTTTTTATGAGCCTAACGGTTAAAAGTACCGTTTGTTGATTTTTTGATGTGCCGATCCTTTCTCAGATTGTAAACTTCCCTCTTTCCACATATTTGAGTTTTGAAAGCCCCGCCTTGTACGTCTCCACAAAGTTGTTTAAAGGGTTAATCACCAATGGTGACATTCGCCACACCCTTGGCATTTGTTCCTAGTTTTTAAGTTGTAGATATAAGATGTGACCAAGGACTTGACCAGAAGCACTTGAACTAAGTCAGCACAAAAATGCAAGGAGCACTTGTATAATCATTCATTTAGTAATCAATAGTTGGAGATACTCTGTAAATATTTGTAAATATATAATTAAGTCGACTTCGCTGCAAGACTTATATTTTATTTTACCTTCCACCAAAGAATTAAACAACACGCCTTATTAATTTAACGCGTGTGCTGATATTCCACTTACAATAGTAAGTTCCCGAATATCTGCCTGTGAAATTTAACAAAACACATTAGCTCCTTTCGTTTATCAGTTTATCGGATGTCGACTAAGTCGTGTTAAATATTCAAAAAGGCAATATTATTTCAATGTTTTTAACCCATGTAAATTATCAGTCTTTTTACGGTCGAAAAACTCTTCTCGTTTGTATAAGAAGATGCGGAAATAATAACAAAAACTGACAAATTAAATACATTCCGGTATGAAGTCATTGGACAGTGGATTTTAGGTTAAAATCTACAATCTCTGACAACTTCTTGAAATCAACATTATTTCTACGAGCCAAATCAAGAAAAATGTCGCTGTTGCTGATTAAAAAAAGTTTCATATACAGGGTAGCCCATCGAAAACAGTAAGTACTATTTTATACGATTTAGCATGATTTTTGTGCAAAAAGCTCAGACACATGGATTTTGATTGTAATTCTGAGCTTTTTGACAAAAATCATGTAAAATGGCATAAAATTACACTTACTTTTTTCAACAGGCCACCCTGTATGGTATACGGTAATATATACAAACACACGTTAAATTCCGTATGTTGAATTCCATAAATAAAATCATCATGTGAGTTAAGCTATAAACAAAAGGAAGTTTATTATAATTATCTAATTATTTAAATATCCGAGTATGCAGGCGGTTACAAAAGTTTCTGTTTGTTCAGTTTATCACAAGTATGCAAAGTTATTAATTTTGCGTGAGAGAATAGTTGAATAGACGAAGAAAAACAAAACGAACGTATTTACTGGTTGGACACGCACCTCCACTCTTTCCTGTCCTGAGCTAATCTTCGCATTTCCATAAAACTAGAACAACCCACATCCTTAACTATTTGCGAAGAGTAATCTAATCTAGATCTACCGCTACTCCTCTACTTCATAGTACACCAAAATTTCTTTAGCAAGTACATCGTAAAACAAAATCAAAAACCTTTATTTGGGAGTAAAAATTATAAAATTTGCGCTGTGGGAGAAAATTACAGTAAGTGGGAATGATTTCATTTGTAATAACGAGTTACTAACAGAAATTCGCATTTGTGAATGCATTCATTCATCAGTATCAGAAAATCAGAAAGTAAAACAAAACTATTCTTCCCTAATCTTTTTAAATAATTAGAGCTATTCTTAAAAAAATTGAAAATGATTATGTGAAACACAATTAAGGAATTAGGTATTGCTTCTTGTCGTATTCATTTAGAAATAATTAACTTTTTCCAACAAGTTTCCATTTAAAATTATAGGTAAAGGTCTAGATGATGGGGTAGGTGGGATCGAAAGAGGTGGTCTCCCCCACCACTGTACCATAAAAAGTTCGTGGCGGTCTTACCTCCATAAAAAGTTACGGGGGTTCAAAGTTAATAAATATGCCAATTTTTATACATTTCTAGGCATGTAAATATTTATATAGTCATTCTTAAACAATATTCAAAGGTAAAACTAATAAAAAATACATAAAAATATTGAGAAAGTTATATAAAACATTATTTAAATATCTTTATCAATAGGGTAGGTTAGGTTA